CCTCCTTCCTTCTCTCTAAACTCTTTCCATGTTTTCAATCACTAACACCGTACTCTCGTATATGAATTGCTGATTTGCACAGTTTGAAATACAGGAAGGGGAGAAGCTCCGGGAAGTATGGTGAAGAAGGCATCTGCAGTGGCGTCGTCGTCGTCTCCGCCGCCGTTATCGGTGCGTCATATGCTGTGGCTGGGATGGAAGCTGGTGATCGCTCTGTCTTTGGCTCTCTGCATCTTGATTTTCCTTAGGCTCCATCTCTACTCCCTCTCTGATTCCGACGACCTTATCACTGCTTCCAAAGCATTACTCTCCGTTTCTTACAACCATCGGTATCTCGCCGAAAATTTCTCTGGCAACCCGAAGGTTTCATTCCTGTTTCTAACTCGAAGCAGTTTGCCTCTCGATTTCGTCTGGAGAAGTTTCTTTCAGGTCTGCAGATTTCGCTTTTGTTGGTAATTGTAATTAAAGTTGTTAACTTTGGGGAAAGTTCTTCTACATTGTAGATTCTTTTCATTTCCCACTTCGCCTCATTTCTATATTTTGAGAAAGTAATGATTTGGCATAGAAATCTGATCTGATCTTCTTGATGCTCACAGGTTGCTGATCCTGCCAATTTCTCAATATATATACACTCCAAACCAGGATTTTCATTTGATCATTCTACTACAAGTTCCCCATTCTTTTACAACCGGCAGCTTAATAACAGCATCCTGGTAAGTTCTTGAGGTCATTGATTGCTCAACAGATCCAACTTACATGATTTTGGACTTGGAAATTGAAAGAATTTCTCAAAGAATTTTAAATGTATTCCTAGTTCATGCTCAGCTTCAATGGAGAAGTTTTAACATATAAAGATTTAAAGAATTCTGATTTGCATTACAAAGTAATACGATTTCATTCACTCACTGTATTTACGAATTCCTGTTGGTTCCAAATCATCTGCTCAATATCTTAAAATTCATGGACAAAATTGTGTAGTCCGGCTGTTTTAACCTGTTAGTGGACTAACATTGAGAGAACGTGCAGGTAGCTTGGGGAGAATCAAGCATGATTGAAGCAGAGAGGTTATTACTTGCAGCAGCTCTTGAGGATCCAGCTAATCAAAGATTTGTTCTCTTATCAGACAGGTTGGTGCTTTTTGCTTTTGGAAACATCAGATAGGATGTACTTGACAAAAGAATTTCAGAGAAGAAGAAAATAACATCAGGAAATGACCAAAGATGTGCTTGCAGTTCATGAGTTTCAGTATATTTCCTTTATTAAACCCATGAAAGAGAAATTGAACACGTGCATCCAATTCTTTATGCAATATGCTGTGGATAATGTTTTACAACGTGATGTTCCATCTGGATGCTATGGATAGCTACTTTATATTTATCCATCAGATTTTGCTCAAGGCCGTACACCATGTTGTACGCAGAGGTGTACAAGTGCACAACATGTTCTCAGTGGCTTGTGGTGTTTGTGGAAGATATATAATGTCTATAGAAGATAAGTATTGTCAGTATTTTTCGAAAAAATTAAAACTAAAAACATGTACTCAGGAAAGTCTTGTTTCTGAGTCTTCCAGAGACATACATTTCATATGTGTGAGAAAAAACTTGTCTTTGAGAGTTTTCAACGGACACCACATGTGTGAGTATTAGTTACATGTACAACATGTTGTACCTTGAGCAAAATCCAAGTAGCACAGAAACATGAAACGGGACATGTGAGAAATGTGATTCTAAAAAATATAGGATATGAAACGTGGAGGAAACGCGTAAATGTTAAAAACATAAGAATATATTTATAAATATTTTTTTCGTATATACACACAAGTTTTTTCATTTATATATATATATATATATATATATATATATATATATATATATATATATATGTATATGTATGTATGTATGTATGTATGTATGTATGTATGTATGTATGTATGCACACAATTTTTTCTATAAGACTTGTTTAATGACCCAATAATAAAAACCCTTACACATGCTCAAATTTTGAAATCATTACATATTAGTACATAATTAAACATAAAAATGCAATATTTTTCTAGCAATGCATTGTGTTATGAAATGTCACAGTGTTGCTAAGAAGAAATACCACAAAAATTCACCAAAGATTTCAAAAAAGACACTGTTTTTCAACAGAGAATATCTTGAAATGGAAAAGAATGTAATTCTATGATTTCCGTACACAATACTGTCCCAAAACGGTACTTTAAAATTTCTGACACGCTTCAGAGTTTCTGAAACGGGGAAACGTGAAGTGCAGAGAGTTTCCGTGCTTCGTAGAGCAAAATCCCTTTCCATCACCCATAAGCTGAAAAAATTGGATACATTTCTGGAAGGCAGACAGTTCTTACTTTGAATATATCATGTTTCTGGTGTTCCATTCAACTTACCCTATCCTATGCTTGAGTTCTTCACCAGCCCATAAAAGCTCAAGGAAACAAGTTAGTGATTCTAGATATTTTTCTTTTTTTTTACAAAAAAAAAATTACAGTGTTCCTAATATTACTATGTGCGTAGTATTAATTTGTGTGTATATGTTAATAGTTACCCAGTTTATTACCTATGAGTTTTTTAGTAACCCACTTTTTAAATTCATGACACATTTTACACTATACTTTCAGTTGTGTACCTTTATACACTTTCAGCTATATATACAACTACTTGATGGCTTCTCCCAGGAGTTTTGTTGACAGGTAAGAAAAAGACAAGATTTGCTGTTAGTTAGATCCCTGAAAAATAAGATTTAATGGTTTAATTAAGTCTGTGTGGTTCTGTTTTTAGTTTTCTGGATGTAAGTGGAAAAGAAAGCCGGTACAACCCAAAGATGAAACCATATATACCAAAGAGCAAATGGAGGAAAGGATCCCAGGTAGAGTTTCGTAATCCACTTATTAAGTTACATTATTGAATTTATGATTGTAATGTGCACACTTTTTATTGCAGTGGATCGCTTTGGTTCGAGAACATGCAGAGATTGTTGCAGATGATAAAATTGTATTACCAGTTTTCAGAAAGTATTGTAAGGTACATGATGTGTTAGTCTTTTTCTATGACAGTCTGGACTGATTATTGCTGATTGTGATTACTAATTTTTATGACTGACATTATAACCTTTTCACCCTTTAGAGGCGTCCACCAATAGAGGCCAGTTTGAAGAGTCGGAATCTTGTAAGTTATTGTCTTTGATTTTTGATTGGCTTTTATGTTATAATGTTTTTTTTATCAAAGAAACACGGATCTCATCTAAAGCATTCAGTTTGTCTCTTAACTGATAGTAATCTTGCAGAACCTTCAAAAGCAGCACAACTGTATCCCTGATGAACACTATGTCCAGACATTACTTGAAGTAAGTAACCATTAACAAATGCCGATTAATTCTTACTTTGTCCCAGAAAAGAGTTGTTTGTAACACTGATCTCAGTACTACAAACATCACAGTTTAATGGGATAGATAGAGTAGAAAATGAAGTACTTTGTCCAGGAAGTTTATTATGTCTTTTCTGGAGATAAATATTGTGAAGAAATTATTTTTTATGTAATTGCTAAACTGTTGTTTGATATTTCCCAAGGAATATACATGGTATGCTTGGATTTCTCTAAATGCTAGGAAAAAGGAAAAGAAAAGACAAGTTACTGTCTTATGCTTGGTTTTATGATGAAAAAACTGTAAGAAAATGAAATCTGATTAGTTTTGTAATTTTTTAATGTATATCTAGATTTGCAAGTCTGATCATAGAAGTAAATAAAGAAATACGTTTTGAAAAAATATTGGAAACAAATTTATTGGGTTTGTGCCCATGTGATCATTCTACCAAATTTCCCTTCATTCCAATGTTACTCTATTTTTTTTACCCGGTAGTTTTGGGGTTCCAAGTGGGACCTATGAAGGCCATTATCGTGTTTTCATGGTCACACCAAATGATCTTCTTTTGATTCTTCTTTATTGTGTATAGATGCATGGTGTTGGAGCTGCACTGGAGCGGAGAACAATAACGTACACAGTATGGAACCAATCAACATCAAATATGGAAAAGGGGGCTTGGCACCCCAAAAGATTTACTTATTCAGATGCAGAACCTGAAAAAATCAATAAAATAAAGGTACTTGTGTATGTTAATTGCCCTCGGCCTAAACAAGAACCCTAAAAAAATAATAGTCATTATGTTTTTGTGCAAGCACATGGATTTATGGTTTGACTAAATTTGAACAGGACATCAGATATGTGTACTACAAGACAGAGGCCCGAACAGAGTGGTGTAGTAACAATTCAACACGGGTCCCATGCTTTCTATTTGCAAGAAAGTTTTCACGGGCCGCTGGGATGCGCCTTTTGAGTGTAGTGGGTGGCTCGCTTGATGGGTCCGCTGCTTCCAAGGAGCCTCCACCATGATTTTTTCCCAGATGGCCTGTGTTCCTAAATCCCATTTGCATATGCTTCAGTGCACATGAGATTCACACAACAGTTTCTGCTCCACCAACATGGACTATGGACAAAGTGAGGACATTTTGGTCGTGGCAGAATATACAGAGGGATGACATTAATAGGTGTGTTATTAGGTAGCATGATTGAGTAGGAGTGAATCACTTGTATTGTATGATTAATATAGTATTATAGTAGTAATTCAAGAAAGGTTGTTTTTCTTACTGTAGTTGCAATAAACAGAGGGTTTCCTTGAATTCTAGGTGAAATTACCCTTTGAGATATACCACCTCAATCGTCAGTCTACTGAACGTCGCTAACTTTATTGTTTTGGTTCTTCTAAAAACTTTAATAAATTCTCTTTAAAGTAATTAAGTTTTTTTTTATCTCCCCTAAATGGCTTTTACTTTTCTTATTCCATGTGCTGATATGCGGAGTAAATTTGCAAAACTCCAATGGAGCAGAAAGTATATAGTATTATAATAGTAAGGGCTATTAAGAATAGCTATGACTTTTAAAGTATTGGTGTATCACTAATTTAGTCGTGAATATCCTTAAAGTTTATGAATATCCAAGGAAATTATGAAATTCAAAAGACAAAATACGTTGTTAAGACAAAATACGTTGTTATAACTTATGAACAATAAATAGAAACAAGTCAGGCTATTTAGCATTTAAAAGAAATTGGTAATATTATCACGTTAACAGTTTAGCACCAGGCCTCGGAACGACCAAACATTCTAAACTGTGTTCTTCAAGGCCAAAAAAACGAGCCCGGAGCAGCTTTGTCGAACCTTTTTCATGTCTCAAATGACCAAAAATGTAAATCCACTAAAAGAACAGGGGTTCTATAAATCAGTGACAGCCATAGTTGCTTGCTCCTTTGTCGAACCGTTTTCATGTCTCAAATGACCAAAAATGTAAATCCACTAAAAGAACAGGGGTTCTATAAATCAGTGACAGCCATAGTTGCTTGCTCCTTTGTCGAACCGTTTTCATGTCTCAAATGACCAAAAATGTAAATCCACTAAAAGAACAGGGGTTCTATAAATCAGTGACAGCCATAGTTGCTGAATCCTCTCCTTCAAGAGCAGCTTTGATACTTTGAACGTTAGCAGCCAAGTGGCTTTCTTTCCATCCTTTTTGCCGAGCCCGGAGCTCCCACATTGAACTAACCTCTCTTTGTGCCTCTAACACCGCTTCAGCTTTCTCCCGCGCTTCCTCGCAGGTTTCCATCCCTGAAGTGCACTTTTCTGCCTCTTTCTGGTATTGGGAAGTCAACTTCTTAGCCTCTAGAAGTGCTTGCTCTGCCTTCTGTTGTATTTCATGCACTTCACCTTCCCGTTGGTGAAGTTCCTCAACCAATTGTCTTGTGAAATTCCTCTCTGCTCCCTCCCTCACCTCCGTCCGATCATGCTCCATGCAATCTATATACGAACAAAAAGTTTTCACGCATACTCCCATGCAATAGATATATAATGATTTTTTCCCATCCAAACACATAACATATGTTAACTATCAATCATTCAAGGTCTATTGATTGAATGATCGAAAACTATCAATTAATGATTGAAAACACCATGGACATGGTCTATAACTTCTTTAAATACTTCGTATTTATTTATTTATTTTTATGCTAACTCTCCCATGAATTTTCTTTATAAATTGTACTCTGTAGTACATAACAGTTTGTAGTCTTAGACAGATAGTTTTCAATTACTTAAGGCTTAATATTTCCAGTCCTTATTGAATGATGATGCTCGCTATCCTATCTTTCAAGTCTTTAATTGAAAAACAAACATATAGTCGATCGGAAACTTAATATAGAGAAATGAAGACTGACCTATGAAAGAAGTGACATTCAGTAAACCTGCATGGAATGCAGAAGTAGAAGAAAGTTGAGGCTATATGTCAATTACAAATGCAGATCAGATACACATAAATATATCAATATGTACAAGTTATATTATGTACCATTTTGGTGGGAAAGGAGAGGTTTAAGAGTGCAATCACAGAAACAAGGAGGGCAAGAAGCGGCGGCAGTGGCGGAGAGGAGCCAATAGAGAGGCGGTCCGATGAGATAACCAGCAATAATGCAGACACCAATCACTGATGCGGTTGCCACCGTCGTGGGGCTCCTCCATGTTTTGCCACCGCCGCCGTTATTTCTTCCATGTTTATGATGATGGTGAGAGTTCATCTGGATCTGGATCTGGATCTGGATCTTTCTCTGTTGGTATGATCTCCCACGTACACACAATGCATGTCTTACTTAGCTCCCATTGATCTTCCAGGTTGAATTGCCTAGTTTTGTGGTAGGGTGGCGTGATGATAACCATGTATCTTAAGTCTAGCCGATACCTCGCTTTACTCCTTTACTTTTTCTTTTATGTAATTATATCATTCAAAAATTTGCAAATTTAGTCCTTTCATTTTACTCCATTGGAGACTATATGCTCGAAACTATAGCTAAATGTGGATGTTGGAATTCTATGTTATAAGAATCCAATGGTACCGATGAACCCTCATGAAATATACCAAAAGTTGATCCAAAATCGTATATGTGCTGTGTGTGTTTGGGAAATTACCCGTTCTTTTATTTTTTAAAGAACAATCACTACAAAAAATAAGCCGCCATTTGTCTAGGATTTCGTCACTTTGTACAAATGATTTTGTCACGGATTTATTTATTTCTTAATGCCACAAGGGCGATAAAAGTTTTGTCAACGATACTCAAACCTGACAAATATTGTCAAGTACTAATCACGGACAACATTCTTGACAAATTTCAAAACGCCGAAAACCCATAAGCTGATGCTAGGGGACGGGGATTGCTACCTCCGCCACGTGCTCGTATAAATATACACTCAAACATATATAGATACATTTTTTAAGCGAAACGGAAATTTATTTAAGATAAAAGAAGAGGGGTACAAGTAGAAAAAAGGAAAAGGAGAAAAAGAAAAGCAACAAAGGACAATAGAAAAATGAAAATGACCAAATCCAAGTACACATGAGCCCAAACCAAAATTCCTAACTCTCTACGTTTGCATTGATAAACCTTAGCTATGGTGCTCGGTCGTTGTGCCAGTCTCAGATTGCATTCTCATACGGCGTGAATTTGGGGTTCTCTTTCTGTAAGACTTCATTTGCACGTTCAAATTATTGTAGGCAAACAATTATCCCTCGACTAACAGTGTCTTATTACAAATGTTTTGATTAGTGTCAAAATTCCATAAGTCATCTACCGTTGATATAGGAGTCCGCTCCGCTTTTCGTTCTCGAAATGTGACCAAGATATATATCCCCCAAATATGAATCATCAAATGCTCCAAAGAGCCCCTCACCATCAATGCCCTTCGCGGAATTAAGGTCCATAACTCCACAATCTGGATACTCAGGTGCTCAAATTGCCAATCAGTATACTCTTTGAAAAGAAATGTTGTCAAATTAATTAGTCACGCTCGAGTTCATAGTATCTTGGAAAAATGACTTCAGCTCTAATCTGGATATGATTTTTTCAAGTTGAAACTTTGGCATAGACTCATTCAACCAATTTGCACCATCAAAATCAAAATTAATACTAGAAAAAGTACTCTATGTACTTTCTGTGATGCAAATTGATGAAAGCGATGTTTGGAAAGCAAAATGCTTGGTCAATAGAATACATTGTTAGAATGGTCCAGCATTTTCACCGCCAAAGTGCATGATTTCCAAATTCAGAATACCTTTTTAAACTAGAATATCGTAGTAACACATCCAAACATAATGTATAAACATATTTTATTAAATTATACTACCTCCGTCCCGATGGAATTTGCTAAATGCAAAGTAAGTGAGAAATAAGAATAATAAAAATTGTGTAATTGAGATTTGTGCAGAGAAGAGAGAAATGTATAGAACCAAAAATCAATTGCTTTAATATGAAAGTGTCAAAGTTTTTTGGGACAATCAAAACGAAAAATTGGCAAAGTCTAATGGGACGGAGGGAGTATAGTACTCTCTCCGTCCCAGATTTTACTTCCGTTTTGACTGGGCACAGAAAAAACACTGTTTTCCCTTGACTTTCCACTTCTGCCCCTGATTTTATTACCGCACACTTGAAGGGAAAAAAGAAAGGGATGGGGCGTTCTGCAAGCTACAGTGATGCTAAGTGAACAGTAAAATGAAAAGTTGTCTTTTTGGGCTTACATGTATTCTGGCGGGAGTTTTTATCCATTCCCTCCAACTTAAAAATTTTAAACATGTCAAAGTTGATAAAGCTCTATATAAACCTACACATACATAGTCGTACATCATCACAAATACAACATGGAAGTTTCAGAAAATGTAGAAACAAGACAAAAAAAAGGCTCTCCAACCAAGCAAAGCAGAAAATCCTGCAAGCTCTTCTCACTAATTTCATAGATGGTAAGCTTTTCAAAGGACTGAAATCTGCATTAGCTGAAGAATATAAAGTGTCAGTAAGGTACATCACAAGTATTTGGATACAAGTAAGGAAATCACAAAGGGATGGTGTACCTATCAATGTTGACAGACAGTTTGCTGCAAAAAGTGGTAGGAAACCTTTACCACTACCTACACTTGACTTTAAGGAAATAGATCTTCACAAAAGGCAGACCATAAGGAGTCTGGCATCTGCTATTGGTTATCCCAAAACATGCGTGCACAGACTCATACGCCAAGGTAAAATTAAAGTACACACAAATTCTATCAAACCTTTTTTGACTGAGTCAAATATGACTAAGAGACTTGAATGGGTCATTTCACACATTGTCCCAGACTCACTCACAACTCATCCACTATTTGAACCCATGTTCAACACTGTCCATGTGGATGAGAAGTGGTTTTACATCACTAAACCATCACAGAGATATTATCTCACTCCAAGTGAACAAGAGCACACAGAACATGCAAGTCCAAGAGATTTATCACAAAAGTAATGTTTTTGTGTGCTGTGACTAGACCAATATTTTCAGAAGACTCAGAGGTCTTATTTGATGGGAAGATAGGTATTTTCCCATTCACAGAATTGAAGGCAGCAAAAAGGAATAGCAAAAACAGAACAGTTGGCACAATAGAGGAAAAGGCAATTGAGAGTGTCACTAAAAGTGTATACAGACAATGTTTACTCAGACAAGTGCTCCCCGCCATCAAAGCCAAGTGGCCACTTCAGGCATCCGGGGATATTTACATTCAACAAGACAATGCCAAACCACATATACAGCCTAATGACAGTGAGTTCATGAAAGAGGCTACTACTGAAGGATTTAACATCAAACTATCATGTCAACCTCCCAATAGTCCTGATCTAAATGTTCTAGACCTAGGGTTTTTTAGATCAATTCAGTCCCTACAACAAGCAACACCAAGTACAACAGTTTCAGAGTTAGTGGGAGGGGTGAGCAAAGCATTTGAGGACTTGAGTCCCTATACTTTGAACAAGGTTTGGCTATCATTGCAGATGTGTATGAAGGAGATTTTAACTGCTAAAGGTAACAAAAACTACAGATTACCTCACATTGGAAAGGATATGTTACATGCTAATGGGGAACTACCTATATCCCTCTCTGCAGACACTACAACAGTGAGGGAAGTGATGGACTTGTTACATGGTAATGGGGAAGTACCTATCTCAAATGCAGCAGACACTACAAGAGGCAGGGAAGTGATGGACTTGTTAAATGGTAATGGGGAAGTACCCATCTCAAATGCAGCAGACACTACAACAGGCAGGGAAGTGATGGACTTGACAATGAGCACCCAGGCTTAACTAGTTACTGGCTGTAGGGTTTTTGGGTTTTGGGTAAAGACAGTGCTAAGGTATATTGGCTACTGCATTTTGGGTTTTTGGGTTTTGGGCATAGACAGGGTGTCTTGGTTTTTTTGGTAGTGGGTTTTTGGTTTTGTGATTTTGGGCTTTGGGGTACACATACAAGATATGTACACAAACAAGACACTGTCAATATATATAAATGCAACTTGGCTTATTTGTTGTCAGTATTAGGCCACTGTTATCAAGTAAACAATACACACTATTAGGCTTTTAGTCAACTTCTAAACTGCCCCTAATTAGCTCATCAGTTATAAGGCCCAATTAAAACATCATTTAGGCTTAGAGGCAGTTAGGTCAACATCATATAAGCATACAAGGCAGCATGTAACATTCAACAATAGGCTTCAGTCAACAGCAAAACCCCCTCCCTTATTAGCCCATCAGTTAGGGCCAATTAGAACATCATTTAGGTTTAGAGGCAGTTAGGTCAACATCATATAAGCACACAAGGCAGCAGGTAACATTCAACAATAGGCATCAGTCAACAGCAACACTCAAGCAATCAGACCATAAATTAGGGCCCAAAAACAGTATAATGTCTTCATCAATGTGCCCAGTCAAAACGGAAGTAAATTCAGAGACGGAGGGAGTAACATACACACCATGAAGTAGGCATACAATACATCAATTTTAGGCACCACTCATATATGAATACACACACATATATACATGCATGCAACAAGAGGAACTTATCACCTTGTTTTTTTGTAACCATGGTCCAATCTTTGTTTAGGCAGCCACATTGAAACCAAATGCTCCAATCTTTCTTGAACTCTAGGGTCCGGGTGAGCATGAGCGTGCGCAGGAAGAAGATACCCCACATTTTTTGTATCCACTGGCCGAAGGTAGATGTCAATGATATTTTCATTGGAGGCTTCACCTCTTCGGTCCAAATGAATCGCAGGAACAGTCAAAGAACTAGACTCCTCCTTTTGTCCTAAGAGGCATTGCTCAGATCTCAACCGTTTTCGTCCTTTCATTCCTTCTTCATTCTCAGAAACGAGGACCAACTGAACCTCAGAATCTGGGACAAATTCCGGCAACATCTCAGACTCAGGGACAAATCCGGCTAAGATCTCAGCCTCACGGACTAAATCGGCCCATCCGGAAGAATCCTCTGAGTCCTCAACCACCACACCAGCCAAATCACCGTGCATGCACAAATCAGATGAACTTTCGGCCATTATTGGCTTTGAAGTTTTAGGTGGGTGTGTGGGTGGGATGACTGCAGATGAATCGACAACGATGGAGTAGAGTTTTCTAGATGGGGATGGAAGGAGTCATGAAAGAACGGAGAGAGAGTGGTTGCGAGAAAAGAGATGAATACGGATGAAGTAATAATGACAAATGGAGAGAAGGTAGAGTAAATGGAGTCGGTAGATGGGTTGGGTGGGATAATAATTGGGGTAGATGTGTGAGGGTAATGGGGTAATTTTAACTTAAAAAATTTCCTAATATAGAAAGTGGAAGTTTTTTTTGGGACAGCCCAAAAAGGAAAGTTGGAAGTAAATTCTGGGACGGAG